AAGGAACCCTATTCCCTCACTTCAACTTAGACACTGAAGGCCCCTTGCAGACTCCCCTTCCGGAGCCTGGCGAAGGCCGTAAACGGCCCCGAAGCAAGCAGCGACAAGGAGGAACATGACCCCATTGGTAGTTAGAAGCCTCATGCAGGCTTCGAAAGCTTGGGCTTCATTGCTTTAGGGTTTGGGGTTTTTGTTGTGGGTCTTTCGGATTTGGAGCTTTGAGCTATAAAGCTCGCCGAGTTTGTGGCAGACGCCATGTCTTCGAAACTCCCGAAAAAAGGGAACCATTTCGGGCTTTTGAGTTTAAGGTTAGCGCGCAGGCTCTCTGTCTGGTTTGCAAGGTTTGGGGATATGTTCGCCGGCGCAGAAGCATCAGGCCTCACAAGTGATGCCACGGGACCCGGATGAGCCCCCAGGTTTCGAAAAGGAGCCCGACTTTAGGAACAATAATGATAGCAATACTAATAAGAAGACTAATAATAATACTAGTACTACTGGCAATACTAATAAAACTAATAACACCACTAATAATACTAATAATACTAATAATACTAAAAATACTCATAATACTGAATAACACTATGAATACTATTCATTATAACAATACTAATATTAGTAAGAATCATGATAGTAATAATGATGGAATCTGATAGAAGGCCTCGGCATGCAGAGTTCAGGACTTCATCAAGGTTTAGGGATGCACCAGCCCTGTGTAGCCTCCATCGTCGCAGATTTGCTGGAACAGCCAGTTCTGTCCAGTGGATGTCACCAGGGTTTGCAGCGCGAGCCTCGAGCAAACCCGTGCGTTTGCAGATTTGGGAGGGCGGTGCACCGGGTCTAAAGCCTGAACCGCCTAAGCGCGGAGCTCTTTCTGCTTTATACTTTTCTACCAATAGATCTTACCATGCCGTCGTCACGCATGTATACTTGGGCCAGGCATGCACAGGCTGTCGGAATGCGTATTCACGCCCTTCCCAACCGTGTTTCTGCATATGTCGTGATAGGATATCCCGAAACTCCCTACACCCCAGATCCCGCACCCAAGAAGTTTCCTGCACACATCTGCAGGCTTCTGCATGTCAATGTGTGTCCAGTGCTGCCAGGCAGCGACAGAAAGCGTGGCGATCCTGGTGCATAATACTGCGGCATTGTACCCTAACCGCATACAATGACCCTGAATCTGGTCTTGACGAGCGAGAACCGCGTTGCTGATTTCGAATTCGCTGCACAGCAGCTAGCACTTCTTTGTTCTTACTCCTAAATCACTGCGATCACTGCCAATGCCAAGTGTCAAACTTTGTAACCGCTTGTCCGCTTGTTGATACTACTGCTGCGATTCTCGTGACTATCCCTATTCGGCCATCATCTATCACATGGGCTGTCGCTGTAGGTAGTACTTAGTACCCTATGCTTTTGCCTTCACTGCTATCTTCCTGAGAATGTGCTGTTGCTCCTGGCACTGCTGCTGCTGATGCTGCCTTCGGTATTGCTTCCCATGCTGCTTCAGTTGCTGCCGTTGGTGCTGCTGCTTCCTGCAGCTCCTGTTCCTACATCTCCTCATCCCAGCATCGAAAACCCTCCACCCAAAAAATTCAAACCCCCCCTAAACCCCAACACCCGAAAGCCGTACATCCCCAAGCCGTACATCCCCAAACACCTGAAAGCCTGCCAAAACCCTCTGAAGCCCTCCTGGTCCTAACACACTGCCAAGCCCCCCTCAACCCTCCTTAACTCAGCCATAGAATCTCCTAAAATCTCTGGACCCTCCAAAGCTGCTGCGAAGTTGCGGCCGACCGCCGATAGGGAACTTGGGAAGTGCTGCCCCCTGCGCCATGTTTGATTCAGGGTTTTGTGTTTTGGCCTTTATCTGCAAAGTTTCGGAGCTACCGGGTTCGGGGTTTCAGCGATAAGGCCCCTCCCTCCTGTTGCAATCGAACCGAGCACATGACTCCCACGGGTGACTCTGTCAGATTGCCCCAAAGCCGGCTCATGCAGCGCGGGCCTTGCAAAGAGCGTTGTTCCTGCAGGCACAGGCACTTCCATTTCACCGCTACCAGGTGTAAGCCCCGATTCCCAGTTACCCCATGCCACCCAGGCCCTCCTCTGCAGATTCTATATATATATATATATATATATATGTGTGTATATATAATACAGGTTTATATTATATATTATAAGTTATATACTATATGTTATATATTATATGTTGTATACTATATACTTGATATTACATATTACATTATCTTATCTTATATATATATATATATACATATGATCTGTTATATTTTATATATATATATATATATATATACATCCATACATACATCATACTATATTATACTGTATTAAATATGTGCATATTACACATATAGGTCCCATGCATCTTCAGGCGAGCGGGCCCTGAAGCACATGCTAAAGGCTACATGGGACATTCCTAAACTAGGGATCCAAAGCAAAAACTGAATGATGGGATCTTTATGGTAAAGAACCCTACAGTATGCCCTGTCTGACGGACAATGGACATGCAGAACCGCGCCAAAAAATGATGCAAAAACTGTGTAAAACTGGAACAATCTTTTGATGACTAAAGACACCATAGTTTTAAGTCTTTAGAAGAAAATCAGAAATGATTGTGAACGGCCACGTGTAGGATCATGGGACTTAGTAAGCAGAGTTATAAGTACCTGAATTAGGGTCATTAGTAGAGATATAACTATAGCTACTTTACGTATAGACCTACTCACTTAGTCCCCTGATCCTCCAAGTACCCATCAGACTAAGAAGAAAGCTCCGAGGCCCGTCGCCCGTCCTCCACAGGAAGCCGACGTCTTCGGCCTCACAGCTGAACCACCGTGCCCAAACGGACGTCCACCTGCCATCTGCTTGGGCTTGGGGCTTAGGGCTCAGGGCCGAGCGTTCTGGGTTCAGGGTCCAAGGTCTATAGGCTGACGTCCCAAGTAGCAGTGGCGCTAGTAGGAACACTGAAGACAGGAAGGGCAGAAATGCGTCGTTCCTTGAGGTTCAGCATTGAAGCGCGCTCGTGTTAGTGCTGGACAGCTCTTTCTCGAGAAGCCGCTTTCAGCGCCCATGATGTGCCCAGCATTTCCCAACCATCATGATTTTTCTGGCGAAAGACAACAACGAATACATACTGCGTGTATAACGACTGTATTCACTCCTTTGTATTTACTCCTTTGCATCCTCATAATGGTAAAAGGCATCAAGCGACTTCCTTCTGGTGACACAACATCAACATGAATTCATACTGCTTGTATAACTTATGTATTCACTCCTTTGCATCCTCATAATTGTAAAAGGCATCACGCGACATGTATCAGGCACCAGAACAGAAAACTAGACGACGTAGAGAACCTGCTGTACATCAATTAGCAACACAGTGAAACAGATACATCAGCAATAGAAAACCTACCTGGGCCTACCTCAGCATATTCGACAGCTTCCCGCCGCAGAACAAAACCCAGCTTAAACCGTAGATCTGAAATCACTTGAAGAACGGGACGGCAAATAGTTTCTTCTGCCAGCTTCGTATGCAGCATGCTGTACGCGATGTCGCGTGTGTGCGTGTGTTTGCCGGATGGCTCTCGGACTAAAACAAACTAATGCCGAAAGAAATCAGCATCGACATTGGGGCTTCGGCTTGCTCGTGTCTGCAGGACATGCCATAGACTCAATAGCGAACTGAACACAACGAAGTCGCAACCACGTGAAAGAACCTGAACTAGCCACGAAGGCGAATGCAGACACTAGTCAAAGACACTCCACTGGGACGCAGTGGCCGCAGAGGTGCTTTCCAGAAGCCCGTACACAAACACTTCTGCAACCCATTCGGGAAGCCGGCACATTCGGGATCCACTCATAGGGAGCGCAAGTGATGAACAATCCTGCGAAGTCGAGACATCCTTGGACGAATTGGGTGCCTGCGGAACTACGTATGATCCTCACTCGGTAAGTAGGGTTATAAGTACCCCAATTAAGGATATAAGCAAATATAATATAACTATAGTTACCTTAATTATAGCAAGACTTACTACGCCCTCTGATCCTCCAACTAAGATACAACATCCACTGTTTGGAATCTGAGTTTGGATGCCTTCAATAACATGCCAGCCCGGCTTCTTCAAGCAAGCTCGCATGTCGCTCTGGTGGCGGAAAACCACCTTGGCTGCTCAAAGTCCCTGGAAATCTCCACAGAGTTTAGGGCTCCAGAGTTTTGGGATTTTGCGGGTTTGGGTTTAGGATTTCTTTTTCCGCCTTGCAGTTAAGGTCAGCGAAACCCAGGTTTAGGGTTTAGGGTTGTGCCCACCGTCCTAACGACAAGACTTCCCATGCGGAAGCAACAGATCAAGGCTGCCCAAGCCACGACCACGACACCCGACGAGCGGAGCTTGGCATCCTGGTGTCATAAAGCTGACATACATACATACATGCATACCTCCATACCCCCATACCTCCACACACACACACATGCACACCGTTGCACACATACACACGGACTTGCACACATGCATGCACACATACATGCATACATACATACATACATACATACATGTATATGTAGAGAGAGAGAGAGAGAGAGAGACAGAGAGAGAGAGAGAGAGCCAGAGGGTGTCTGTGCGTGTCCAATATACATTGGTGCAAGAACAGAAAAACCCTGAAGAGAGGTGCGGACCGCAACGGCCACCCGGGGTGCAGAAACAGACTTTACGACAGTACCCGAAAAAAGCCCTGCGGGGTGCGAAAAAAAAACCTAGCCCATATATCCATATATATATATATGCATACATACATACATACATACGTACATACGTATACATATGTACATACCTTTGTGGATAGGCTGCTATAGCCGTGTATATGTGTGTGTGTGTGTGTGTGTATATATATATATGTATGCACACACAAGCAAACCCCATATGGTTCATGCCTTCAAGCCCAAGGTAAACAGCCTTTCTCGAATCCCGAGACACCCAGAAAAGCCCTCATACATCCCAGCCAGCCTTCGTACCTGCCGACTTCAGTGCTGCTGTGATTTGAACCATCTCCGCCTGCCCAGCTTTGGGGTATGAAGCTCAAAGCGGCACCGGGACCACAATGTCGACAGGGAGTGGCGTAGGACATGTGTTTTGCATGGACTTCATACAAACGGAACCTGGCATGCGATAGCAGCCCGTGACAAGCATCCGCTGAACTGCAGATTGTAATGAATGTCTGCTGACGCGCTTCAGCATGTGATAGCTACGAGTGAGAGCCGTGGCGTACAGGAGATACCGCCAACGAATTAGCTGGTTGAAAACTGACGCCGTACGAGCTCCGGGGAAGACTGCCTGCACCGTGGAGCTCTCGACCTAGCCTAGCCTCTCATTGAACCCCTAAACCCGTCCTAAACCCTCCTAAGCCGCTCCAACCATACAGCCCTAGGTCCCAAGGCAAGCTCGGCCTTGATGTTCTTCACCTGCAAGGCCCACTTTCTCACGGAGTGTTCCAACTTTGGATCTCTGTCGTCAAGGCATCTCTATGTTTACCGATCAGGTTTAGTCGTTAAGAAGTGTCAAAGGAGGCTGAAACCCTGTGGATCACTGCTTGCATGTTTGGAGCAGGCTGCACTAGCATGGTCTGGCTATCGGCTGTTCTCTGCCCTGCAGCTTCGATTGCCGGCGACTCTTAATATTAATTAGTTTGCTGTCCGGCCTTTTAACAACTGCCGGCCCTGGCGCTGGGACCGTGTACACAGCTTCCTTGCTGCCAACAGTGGTTGTAGCCGTGGCCATGGGCGTGGTCGCAAGCAGAGCCGTAATATTCACAGTAGTAGCAGTAGTAGGAGCGGCAGTAGTAGTAGAAGCAGTAGCAGTAGTAGTAGGAGCAGCAGCAGGAAAAGTAGTAGCAGTAGTAGTAGTAGTAGTAGTAGTAGTAGTAGTAGTAGTAGCGGTAGCTGGAGCAGTAGGAGTTGTCGTGGTAGAAGTAGTAGTAGTAGTAGTAGTAGTAGTAGCAGCAGCAGCAGCAGTAGTAGTAGTAGTAGTAGTAGTAGTGGTAGTAGTAGTAGTAGTGGTGGTAGTAGGAATAGAGCAGGAGTAGGAGTAGGAGTAGTAGTAACACTAGAAGCAGTACTAGTGGTTGTAGTAGCAGGAGTAGGAGCAAGGAGTCGGAGCAAAAGCAGGAGCACGACGGAGTAGGAGTAGGGCTAGGAGGAGGAGTAGAGTAACACGACTCGTAGGAGTAGGAGTAGGAGTAGGAGTAGGAGTAGGAGTAGGAGTAGGAGTAGGAGTAGGAGTAGGAGTATGTAGGAGTAGGAGGAGGAGTAGGAGTATGGTACGAGTAGTTGGAGAAGGAGCAACCGGACCTCCGGGTCGCTACTGTCCTTCTCGTCCAGCCTCTTCTTCAGCTCCTGGCGCTCACGAAACGCAGGGATTCAGGCTGTGAAGAGATGGCGGGAGGGAGGCTCCGGTTCCAGTATCTTCGGAACCGAGGAGTATCAGTTGAAACATTCAGGAGATCATGGAAGCCTCACCCTCAAAGACGGCAAGGCCGCACAGCCGAACGCATGCTTGCGCACAGAAGGGTGGTCAACTCGCAGATCAAAAAGGAGGACTGACGACACACCGTCACGCTGCTTGGCGCCCAAGCACCTTGTCAACAAAACAAGACCAACCCTCGAGAAACTTGCTTAAGAAGATCCGCTGGTGAAGCGGCTTCCTACAGCAACCCGGTGAATGATGATCAAGACAGTGTCGGAAACTAGGCTTCTCCCTACTACTTCTACAACACGCCCAACCCATTCAGGCCAACCGACCTTCAGCTTTGAGATGTTCTCTCGGAACTCTTCAATGTCCCAACCGATCACGACCTGCTCGCCACCCGACCGGTGGGAGCTGCTTGAAGCTTGGGGGGGAGGGGGTTTTTTAGGGTCATTTTGGGATCTTGGGAGCTCAGGACTTCACGGCTTCTCCATCAGATGTGCACCGCTCAAGTTGCTCATGGACTAGGGCTTGGGGCTGATATATTGTCTCCTTACCTCCTACACTGCCGCATCGGAATCGCACATTCCCGAATCATTGGCCTTGACGATCTCTGTGTCGGTCTTGCCCTTCACGGCATGCTCTTTGAAGAACTCCATGATTGCATCCTGCAGAATCGTTGCTGTTCCGGGTCGGCCCAGCCTCACTACGAGCCGAGACCAGGAGGAGCTCTAAGTATGCTTCGCAGTCTGCATATATATATATATATATATGTATGTCTGTATGTATGTATGTGTATATATATATATAGATATCTAGACTGTAGACCAAGCATCAAAAAGATTCACTTTCTTAGTGCATGATGTATGATATAACTATATAACATACACGTCGCGATTGTATTACATGTTGGGTGGCATACTATGCAAGACATTGTTCATGTACATATATCTTTGGTGATACTGCGATGTGTATTCTTTGTGTTTATGTGTTTCATGTTTTATGACATGACATGATATGACATGACAGGACATGATATGATACGACATATGTGTTTATATTCCGATACCATCTATATACATATTAATCAATGTCTTGCTTTGTGTAGAATTACAGATATGTGTATATAAATTACATGTTGCTTCTAGGCTTACAAACATGTTTCTACATTCTTGCCTGATAATATGCTAATACGCTTGTGTGTCTACATATATATATATATATATATATATGTATACATATCGATCCTGTTTCATGCATCCCATAACTCAGTCTCGTAAATCATTTATATATATACATATATATATATATTGTCAACTTTGTGCCCCCACGTTTGATGTATTCTATATCTCTACTGTAAAACATGCAACATAGATCATACATGTATGTATATGTATGTATATATATATATACATTACAAGTTACAGACTTTATGATCTATGATATTTGGATTATACTCTTCTCTACTACATATTGTATTGTATAATGTATGTCACGAGATATATACTGTATAGTCTGCGTTTCATCTATTGCACAATATCTGTTGCAGATTAAATGCTGCACATTCCATGTTGCATGTTACATTTTACATATTCTATATTCTCTTTTTTGCACTATGCTTCACAAAAACATTACATGGTAGAAGACTGAAATATTTCTATACTATACATTGTAGGCTTTAGATTATATGCTGTACATTATGTATAGTATAATGTATACTGTATACGCAATATTACATGTTTTCTGACCTATATTGTGTATTGTATATTGTGAATGATATATGACACTTTCTCTTAATATCTATCTTAATATACGGTATATGATATGTACTAGAGTATGGGGGTCCGTGGGTTGGCGAAGGTTGATGGCTTGGGGCTTACGACTTGAGGTCGGGGCTTCTGAGTTTGGGGATTATGACTTGTGATATTGAAGCTTGCGGTATTTAGGCCGCTGAATGAGCAGCCGGCTCAGTGTCTCGCTGCCGAGAACGAGAACGGGGCTACTCCAGGAGCCCAAATATAAATCGGATTTTAGGGTGTATGATACTATAGTATACTAAGGAGCCCTCAGGAATGATATTACAAATGGCCGGGAGGTACAAGCATATCATCAGGAACATGCAAGCCATGGGGCGGCTGTGAAGTGAGGATATGATCCGGATCAAGTCTGCTGTGCGCAACGAGCTGTCCTCATCCGTAGCGGTTGACGGGAGTCCCTGACAGGGGCATTGCTCAGGTCGCGAGTATGTCACAATGCTCCAGAGCCGAAAACTCCAAGAACCACGGGTTTAGGGCCTTGGGTTCTAAACCCTACACCGCAAAGCCTAAAATAGCGCAGCCTTGACCATGATGGCAAAGTCATTCGGGGAGATGGTGCCTGAGGGTGCGGCAAAACGGACAGGGATGATGATGATGATGACGGCGCTGCGATGTGAATCATCATGAGCATCCTCGTGGCGATGCTGCTGACGATGATGATGATGATTATGTTGATGATGTTGCTGCTGATGATGATGGTGGTGATGATGATGATGATGGCGATCATGATCATGATGATGACGGTGATGATGACGATGATGGTGATGATGATGAAGATGATCGTGATGGTGATGGTGATGGCGATGATGCTCACCATCATCAGCAGCATCATCATGATCATCATCATATCATCAGCGTCATGACAAATCATGACTATAATAGTGATGGTGATCATCATGAACCGTGGTGATGTTACAGAAGCAGTGATCATGGCCATCACAAAGGTCATGAGGATAGCCAGGATGAGTGCGATGACGGCCATGTATATTTGATGTCATGACGGTGAGTTCATGATGGTGGCTACGGCGATGATGTGGCTGATGCTGATGCTTCTGAGAGCTATGGCGATGATCCTTTTAAGATGATGGTAGTGGTGGTAGTCATGCTGATGCTGGTGACGCGATGCAGATGTCTTTAAGGATAAAGATAGCCGTGACAGAAAGCTAGCTGTACTGCTCATGGCACGACAATGATGCTGATAAAAAAGCTCATGAAGATGATTATGGTGATAATGATGATGATGGTTGTGTACTCGTTCATGTTCCTGAAGAGGCAGGCATCATCAGCAGCAGCAGCACCACCACCACCACCACCAGCACCACCACCATCACCGCCATAATTGTCATCAGCAGCAGCAGCAGCAGCAGCATCGTCCTCATCACCATCAACATCTCCTGATTTCATCATCATCATCATCATCATCATCAACAACAACAACAACGTCGTCATCATCATGACTGACCAGCACCGCCGTGCACCAGCGCAAAGCTTCATCTCCATACTTTGCCCTTTCACACCACGACCTTCCCGTGCCTGCAACCTCCGTTCCTCAACACAGTGTGATCCGTGCAGGGTGATTCTTACCGGATCCCTTGCTGTCAACATGGCAGGGTCTCGACAACCCGAACCCTTCAACCCCTGTTCGGGCTCCCACCAGCATCCACTTTGTAATCGGTCAGGACCTGGCATACTGAACTTGCGGAGTCCGGAGCTTTGAAGCAACTGGGCCTGGAAAACCTTGGGCCACCGTGGCAGGTGCTGGTCAAAACCCGGACTTCCTACGCTCAGCTACAGAGTAATATAGGCTATATAGGAGCCTTGATAATTAGAACAGGTTTCAGGGGTATATTATACTATACTATAATTTTAAACCCCGAAAAGAGTACAGGTAATTGTTAAGGCCCCTATAGTACCGTGCCAATCCCGCGCAAAAGGGCCCTGGGCCCAGCGCACGAAACAGTTGAACCCTGATTCCGGTGCCCGTCCGCCTGGCTGCTGTAAGCCATGACTATCAGCACGCACAAGACTATCAGGCAGACCTGGCTGCTGCACGCGCAAACATGGTGTAGATCCGCGCGTGCCAAAAAAAACGAATTGCCTGAATTACCACTGGAACAGCTTTCAAAAGGTGCGTTGCCGTGACTACCATGTCTGGACTGCGGCATGTTCTACTACTGCAAATGCACAGATACCCTCGCACATCTCACCACCCAACAGTTCAACTGCTGGACGAAGTAGTGAAAATGAGAAGCTCATTCTGATGCCGACCCAATAATCGCAGCATAGAGACGGTGTACATCGTCGGGACGACGGGACTCGTGGCCTTTGTGCCGAAGGACACTCAGGCGGGGGTGACATTTGTGGACAAACAGCTGCCTGTGGCTCGTGTCGCCACATGCTTACGTAAGCTAGGCTGCCTGAACCGGGAAGCATTAAATCGCTGGGAATGCCGTTGCACGCGACGCCAATGAAACCGAATGGCCCGTGTCCTAGCGACTGCTTCGCATTCTAGCTCTGAACGAATCTCAAGGACCTGCTTCGTCTGGGACCTAACCTACTAACCGAAAGAGGGATCTTGGGGCGTAAGGCCGTGGTGGGCATTCACGATATTGTTTGGGGTTCCAGGTCTCACTTCGAGATGAGAGAAGGGCTCTGGGGCTTCGGTGAGCTCGGGCTTCATTTCTCGAGGCCGCCACCTCGTCAGGGCCGGTGTTCCCCGGGGACAGCCAGAAAGTGCCGATCCACACCGCCTGGTCCCGGCGGGCTGGATGTCTTGGGGCTGAGCACTGGGACACTTAACCCTCCCCACATCCGCTACACTGAACCCCTGACATGTAAGTTATCGAATTCACTCACCCTTGCGGTAGGACAGAACACGCGAACCTCTGCAAGCCTGCCTGAGACTGTTGAGCAATCAAAACCCCGTGCTCTCTCGCTTCGATCACGTCGAGTCTGTGAGAGAGTCTCAACATCAGGCGAAATATAGGAGGCTCCTTCTCCGCCTCACAATCCATACATCAGGCCACGGATTTCCAAACCACTAAAAACAAGATCAAGGAAGAGGTTAACGGGGTCAAACACTGTAACAGCTACATGTTTCGCAGGGACGCAAGGAAGAAGAGTTTGCTGGGCCCCGGCTCCGGCCCTGTTGGCTGCCGCCACCTACAGCTGTTGCCTGACATTCTGACAACACTGAGAAGCCAGCATTGGAAGACAGTCCTACAAGCGAAGACATCAAGAAAACCACGAAGCAGGGCCGAGCTGGGACTGTCTGTCGGGTGGTCCCCCCCCAACACCCACCCCTACACAAACCCCTGTGTCCAGGCCGCCTGCATCTCTCTCCCTTTTTCTTGCTTTCTGCCGGGCTTAGGGGTCACGCTCGTGACCCGCAGGCGCTTGGCCAGCCCGACCATTTCTGGTGTTGGGGGGTTCCGCTCCCTCTCTCCCTTCTCTCGTTCCTCGTTCTCTGGCCTGCTTTCGGCTCCAGTACGTAGACTCTTCCCTTTGCGGCCCCATTGGCCCGCCTGGTTCGTCGCTACATCGGCGCCCGAGTACTCCACGTCCGCGGATCGGAAACCGGTCTGCCGAAGGTGTCCGGTCGGGGTTAAAAGACAAGGGACCTTCATAATCAGAATAGAGTGCGTTTTAACAGCGCCTACAAGGGCTACTATAGGATTCTACAGAATAGGGGCCTCAATCAGAAGAGTGGGTTTCAGGTACAGTAGATAAACTCTGATTTCTCAGGCAACCCTAGGGAACAGGATTCTTCAGGTCCCTCTATTGAATTGAGGGGTTATGGCTAGGAGCTTCGCAGAGAACCCATGCCATCCCGAAACTCTCTCAACTTCCTGCAAGCGACGATGCCCTACCGGTTTAAGGGCTTAGGGCTTAGGGTTTAAGGGTTTAGGGTTTAGGGTTTAGGGCTTAGGGTTTAGGGCTTAGGGTTCAAGGGTTTAGGGTTTAGGGCTCAAGATAGGCACCAACTTCAGTATGAATGCTGTCCGGACACACACTGCGACGTCAGCGACGAGTTCTGATCACACGCCGAGTAGGCCTTCGCGGGGCCGTTGTCCAAAACATTGCCCAGGTCAAGTTGAGGGTTTAGGGTTTACTGTGCGGGCCTCAAATATTACCTATGATATTTTGGGGGCTCCTTCTTATAATTATACCCAAAACCCTATCCAGGCCGTATTCTACTTATGAAGGCTCCTATATTAGGGGTTTGGAGTTCAGGGGTTCCTGATAGATTTGGCCTCTACTAGCATGCACTGTCGGCTCTCACATCTTCAGCAAGGGATGGGCAACCTTCGGTGTTTCATGATTCACTGCTTGGTTCATTGCTCGGCCCCCTCGAAGCTAGAAGAGCACTCCGCGCCTTCACAAGGATGTTGCTCCCGTCGGAAATGTAGACATTGCGCATGGAGTTGCTCACACTGTCGATTCTGGGACAGTACCTGAACGGGCTCACTTCAGAACCGTCAGGAGATGCAAACGCACATCAAAGCTCCTTGACTTCTAACGCATCCTGCTTCGTGTGAACACTTGACGCCCTTGCAAATGTGCCCCCAGAAGCCAGGCATGAAACCCTAAACCCTATCAGTAGCTACAGTAATATACTATAATAATTCTATTCTATAGTAATGCTACACTATGATGATACTAAACCCTAAACTAAAATCTTGTGGCAGATGACTCTGAAATGCTTCCCGAGCGGCTTGGACGTGTAACACCAGCTTTGACACACATACATGCCAGGAGTGCTGAAGGCACCTGGACACCCAGGCAAACTCTTGAAAATTGGCTTTCCTTGTCGTTGCCTGGTTGATATCGCCTCTGTAACGTTGTTCTTTATCAGCACCAGAGCACTAAAGCAGAACACTCTTCAAAGCCCTACTCCACGGATCATAGATTGTTCAGGAAGACCTGGGTCACACGGTTCAGCTTTCAGGGTGTTGGGGTTGAGGGTTTGTCGCTTGACGGTCTTACTGCAGAGACTGCAGCCAAGGCGCACGACGTCTCATTATCACAGAGTGGCATATCCCAGGCGCCGCAGGACGCCTGAAGTCGATATCCACCGATTCTATGTCGGCTTGCCCGTCTTCTGGGCTGAAGCTGTGCCCGATCTTTTTTGAGTTTGGACGAGTTTCAGGCTTCGGTTTAGATTGCAAGGCTTGAGGTCTTCAGAATCTGGGGCTGCTTCGAAGGCGGGAAAGAATTCTGGCTTCTCTGCTTCCGACATTATCTTCTCGCTGGTTGTTACTATCATACACACGAATAAATGCCACGCATGCGTGTACATATGTATCTACTTGTGTGTATGTACATATCGCTATATATATATATATATACATGTATATACATGTATATACATACATATATATATATATATATGCATATAAAGAGATATATATATATATATGTTGAAAACCGTACATTCACAGGTATATGCAAATCTTTATGTAGGTGCATTGATGTGTGCGTTTGTGCGCCTGTATACATATGTGCATATATATATACATAGACCGTATATCTATACAGAATGTAAAACATAGTCCGTAAAGAAATATGCATGTATGTAATGTATGTACGTAGGCAGGCAGGTAGGCAGGTGTGTGTGCGTGTGTGCATGGTGGCTGACAACTCAGGGCGGCGCTCCGACACCAGCAGAGTTGCCGATGCCTTGGCTTCTTCCGGACGGAACAAGAAGGCACTGATCTAGAGGATTCCTTTTGGCTCAAAGGAAGGAACCGGAAGGTTCTATAGTCGGGCTCCTTTGAAGGCACCATGAGAGTAATTAGGGCCTGGACAGGCATTACTTGTTTTGATATTGGTTCGGGGGCCAGCAGCCGCGCGCTTCTTGCTGCAGTCAGGCGACAGTTGCACACAGTGGCATCGTCGCTGTATGCCTGCCGCACAAACAACGTTCGTTGAGCAGGTCGCACTTGTAGAGCTCTCCCACTCTGCCGATGAATGAACTTCCAGCAACACTTCTTCAAAAACAAAGTAGCAGGCAGCAAGGGCAAGACAAACAGCTTCAACCATGAAAGCCTGACAGGCAAGGGCTGGCTTCGTGCCACAGCCTTGTCAAGAATAGACCTCCGGCCCTTTCCTAGCGAGCCCTAACCCTTGCCCAGGGGCCTTCGTCCAATCGTCAAGATGATACCAGTCCTCAGTCAGACTCGCTAGATTTCGCTAAGTTCAGGGTGTTTTACGTCATAATTTACTTCTAAACTCGCAACCCCATTCTTGCAGAAAGGACCGCTGTGGCGTGTGTGCTTCAGGAGTTTTGAAAACAGAGAGGGAAATCAAAAGTTTCCGATTTGTACAGAACTTAACCGTTATCCGAAACTCTGAAGCCTGATCCGAAACCCCATGCACCTGCATCGCTAACCCTGGACAGCAGCGGTGGGTATCGTTTGAGTCGTAACGATATCTCGGGTTGCCCAATTCCCTGGGATCTGTAGCACCTCAAGCCTACGTGCTCTGTCGAAGCACCAGTCCATGTATACGTATACATGCAAGTATAAACATAGCACAGCATTGCATTCACTTGCAAGCGCACTGGCACTGGCAACCGTAATGGCAATCACAATCGCAACGGCGATGTGAGAAACAGGAGCAGAAGCAAGAGCGAAAACAAAGGCATGGGACAGCATAGCATAGCAACGCATGATGCAGGACTTATGGATCATCGGAGACTAGCCGATGATGTCTTCAACCCAACCCCGGTTTGGGGTGACTCCGGCACTTGCGGCCTGCACATCCATCCTGTTCGCTAGCCTCACACCCACCGATCGAAATTTGCAGCCTCCAGTTTCTCACATCCATAGGCCCGGCATGGCATTTATCACTATCCCCAACCAGAACGCAAGTAACTCAAGCATAAACACTACCTCAGGCAAGTACCTGCAACTACAGAACCTACTTCTGCCCGGCGTCTGCGAGGTTGCTAGCCTCTGAGTAGATCGTCATGACAGGAACCTGTCCGAGTGGGCACGGATTGTCTTGACACTACGGGGTGTTACCCCAAGAGCTTTACGAGAGATTTGGAAAGGGTTTTTGACACTATGTAAGACCAGGGGTTCTTAAGGAGTGTCATAAGGGCTGCAGGCCTTATGCGGAGAGATTCTTGACAACACGGGTACCTCGTGTTTTCGGATTTGGTGTCTGGAAATCTATACGTTCAAGTCCCCCTTCTGCCATTCTCCAAAGCTGCCACGATTTAAGACTTACGGATCCTTGGCAGCTAAAACTAGGCCGGGCATGCACGACTCTTGTGGCAGCGAGCAGAGCGGCATGCTATAATTATACTTGGGACTATGAAGGGATACTAATTCTGCTTTTCGCCATACTAGATACTACAGAGAGATCTCACGGCGTGCAAACGCACGGCTCAAAAGATTCAAGCAGAGGCAACTCCCAACTCAGCCTTTGTCAAGTAAAACCCGGCCAAGGGTTTCAGACCGGTGAACTTTGCTCGAAGGCCTCAAAAGGTGGGATGAAGGTAGGTAGGATTAAGGATCCCTTATATAAGGACTCTTATTTGGGAATATCCCACCTACCTTCATCCCACCTTTTGAGGCCTCCGATTTGCAGAACCTCTATCAAGGAGCCCAACCCTTCCACAACTAGTGGGGCCTTGATAATTAGAATAGGGTTTCGGGGCCCATCATACGATAATTATAATCAGAAACCTCCAAAATAGTATAGGTAACCCTTTCGGCCCCTGTTTTAGGCTCAGACGGCTCAGACCTTACGACTAGTAGCAGCTACAGCCCGTCGCTTCATGCAGCTCGCCGGAGCCTGAAGGCACAAATGCGCGAAAAAGATGCACATGAGGAAGCCCAAGAACTGGAAGTACAGCACCTGTGCAGAAGTGACGGAGATAAGCGTTTCCAAAAGCATTTTATCAATATCGTATCATACGCATGCGTAAATACTGGCGCAGTGGCAGTAGTATAGTAGGAAGAGGAGCACGAGCAGAAGCAGGAGTACCAAGTAGTAAGTGGTGTCGCCTTCTGGGTAGTAGCATTAGCAGTACAGTCGCTGTCGTCGCGGCGGCAGGAGTAGGAGCAGGAGGAGGACGAGGAGCAGGAGGAGCCGCAATACCTTTCATATACGGCTTAAATAATTACCAGTATTATTTTAGGAGCTCCTTGCTATAATTTTAGGCCTTCTGTAACTTTACTATAATGGGCACCAAAACCCTATTCTAATTATTAAGGCCCCTACACTAGCAGACGAAGGGGCGAGGACAGAAGGTCATCGTCGTGTCATCATACTGGCACCACTGAGAAAAGCCTGAGACCATGGACCATCTCTCATCCAAGGATCTGCAGTAGTATAGTATGGCAAGGCCTGCCCTAGTAGCATAGCATAGTATGGTATAGTCTAGCACAGCATAACGTAGCAGAACTCAGTATCGTCTCGTATCCCGGAACAGAGCCACGGAGAATCCGAGGCTTTTGCATAGCCGCTCCCCAGTTCGGCAAGTTCTATCGGCCAGCAGCCCCTCAGCAGTGCAAGAGTTGCGAATGCGAGGGGGGACTTTGAGGTTTCGGGTTTAGGGACTTTGGGTCCAGGTGCTGCGTCGGCTGGGAGTACAGCTTCGGTGCCTGCAGCTTTCAACTTCCAAACGCATGACAATCTAGAGTGTTTGGTATTGCTAGTGTTTCAATTGGCAAGACCGATAGTTTGGAGCTAGTGCGAATTCTGTCACACAGTTGCAACTGCTCTTGTCTAGGTTGCTGTTGATACAGTTTGGCTAGTGTCCTGGCTGCTGTCCCTTTTGTTGTCGGTTCCTGCTGTTGCTGTTTCTACTACTACTGCTGCTGCGGCCAATGTGGCTGATAGATGCTGCTGCTGTTGCTGCTGTCGACATTGTGGTGGTAGTTGTAGGTAGTGCGTTTGTGATGATAGCTGCCGTGGCTGCTGTTGTGGCCGTCAGCTGTGCTGTTGGTGTCGTACTGGTTGGTTAGCGGTAGGGCCACTTCGACTTTTTGATACAAAGTGTAGCAGCTGCCGTTTTGTCCAACATCTTTGGAGTATGGTCTTATTAACTACTCGTGTAAGAACTTTCAACCTCCGACAAGTACTTTGCCATCCTTTCGTTTTCAGTTTCCCTCACGATGCTGACTGCCAGTAGATCACTCTTAGATTAGTCACGGGCTGCCCTCTCGCGATCATCCCGGGGCCGGGCCCCAGACTTCCGAAAACGAGGGCAGGATTTGCTGAAGGCGTGAAAGTCCTCACAGAATGGGTGGGTGGCCGTACTCGACTGACGAAATTTCATGACGGCTGCTGTGACAGATGTTGCTGCTAACAAACCATTCACGTGCTACTGCCCATCCGTACTTCATTCTCGTGAAGGCTTTGCGGTATCGGGATCGGCGGGCCGTGGGCTCCAGGATACATCGGCAGAAAGCCTGATGCTGCGGAGGCTAGCCCCTCCGCAGGTCTCTGCAAGGCATTGAAGGATGAAGCGATTGCGGCCCAGCGGAGCCTTTGAACAGCCTACCCCCACCTAGAGCAGAACGACTGACATCACAAAATGACTTCGTTCGGTCCCATTCGCTTGAAGCAGCCGTCCTTGAAACCTTGAGCCTGCATCTCTGCTTGGAGGGTCCGCCCGTTCCTCAGAACTTAAGCGCCACAGTGGTGCCCATGTGGGTGCAACTACAAGAGCTTGGAGCCAAGCTGTCGGGCTGATGACGCCATTTCATCATATTGCTTCTGAATGCATTTCACGCCACAGTCCTGAGTACAAGGAAGAGGCAACAAAGGAGCCTCCCAGTGAAAGCGCCGAGCCCTGGCCTTTGTCCACTGCGTGAAGTTATCTTTCGTGATCACCTTCTTGGCCTGGCCACCACTGCTCAAGGGACTGAGTTGACCAACACGGGTGGTTGTCAAAATTATGGCCCCTTTTGGGTCCCTAGTATAATACGGCACCCATTCTTTAGGGTACCCAAGGTTGGACCCTAATTTTGACAACTACCCGCCTGACGATTCGTAGAGTTTAGGGCTGTTACGAGCTTCACACACTCACCCGGTCCCTTGCCTCGGCCATTTGCCCACACCCGCTGGTCTCGCTACGGGGGGCTCAACAGCTCAGCTGAGCCAAAAGCGCCAAGCAGGGAGACTGTGCATCGGAGCAGAGCGGAACCAGCAACCTGGAGCCTGGAGCCTGGCCTGTCATCTTCTACGCAGGAGGATCATGAAGTGCGAAGGGCAAGGCCACTGTTCTTCCTCGCGGCTTTTGCCGGTACTAAATCATCTTGAAATCCCCTTTGCCCGAGCTGTAGCAGGGATCAGCTTGCCACGCCGAGCACTAAGGAACTCCGACGGCTGACAGGAACCACGGCTAGCTTTGTGTCATTGAAACCGCCCAAATGGCGATGGCCAGAAATCGTCAGCCTCTGGAGATCCGACCGATGTAAGAAACACTCCTAACAAACTCCTACACGACAAGCTCAGATTCGCCCTGTCCCTGCTGCAACTTGCCGCTGACCTCACTCTCTGGGCTTCAGATGCAACTCTCGCCAAGACTTTCCCGCAGAAGCCCTGCTCCTAGGTATCTGCAGTCGGGACCTTCGAATATCATTCGGACGTGTGACTACTCAGCGGTTCTATCAACTCCCTGAAAATCCTCCCTTTTACTCTTCTACACGAAACTCCATCCCCGGCTCCGAAACCCCTAAACTCTCAACCCCTCGTATAACCATTCAGCCCCCTAAACCCCTAAACCCCGAAACCCTAGACCTCTTAAACCGTAAACCCCTAAACCCCTAAACCCCTAAACCCCCGAACCCCTAAACCCCTAAACTAACCGCTCTTGCCATGCCGCGAACTGACGAACCATCTCCAAGGCAACCTCGGGCTGGTCCATGGGGACCATGTGCCCAGCCTCACGAGGGCGTCCCAAGATTCTAGGGCTTAGGGGTTGAGGGTTTAGGGCCCAGGGTTTAGGGTTTAGGGCTTAGGGGTTTAGGGTCGAGGGCTTTAGGGTTTAGGGTTCAAGTTCTTTTTTTGAACGCCCTTTTGTCCGTCTGCCAGTGTGTCAAAAGGCTACCAACTGGAATCCGAGGGTTCAAGGTTTAGGGTTTAGAGTTTAGGGCTCAGGGTTGTGTAGGAGTTCCGGGTTTGGTTTAAGGGCTTCAGGGGCTTAGGGTTTAATTAGGGGTTTCGGGTTTCGGGGGTTTCCTGTGGGCCTGTCCGAGCTCCGAAGTACAAACCCTCAAAACATAACCCCCGACTCGCTACGCCCTGAATCCTAAGCCCTAAACCTCGAATCCTGGAATAGCGCGAGAGACATGAAGATCCTACCAAAGAGCCCTTGTAAAGGAGACCGTAACAAGAATGCCCACCACCTCAACTGAACCCTCCCAAAGCGCTCTTCTGAAGGAGCCTTGACTCCATAAACCTCCAAACCCTAAACCCCTAACCCCTAAACCCTAAAGCCCTAACCCCTGAACTCTAAGCCCTAAGCCCTGAGCCTTAAACCCTGAGCCCTAAGCCCCAAGCCCCTTGCCCTAAACCCTAAGCCCTGAAACCGAACCGAACACAGCGACCTCGAAGACCTGCATGAAGCTGAGGCCATTGGAGGACCGGAGCTTCGCCACCTGAGCTCTTCTGGGCTCTTCTTCAGGCTTAGGGTTTAGGGTGTAGGGCTTAGGGTTTAGGGCTTAGGGTTTAGGGCTTAGGGTTTAGGTTTAGGGTTTCGGGCTTCGGGTTTAGGGTTTAAAGTTTAGGATTCTAAGATACCATAATGAGGAAACCATGGTATCTACTGTAGATCGAGCTCGGGAATTTATTCTGAGCTACCACTATAGTGAAACCAAAGTATTTGCTATAGATCGAGTTCTTTGCCGTTGCCTTTCTGGACCTTTCGGGCTTCGTTTAGGTTCAGGGTTTAGGGTTTGAGTTTAAGGGTTTAGGGCCTAGGGTTTAGGGGTTCAGGGTTTAGGGAGGCTCCAAGTTACCGAGCCATGATAATACTATAGCATCTAAACTAGAGTATGCATTCTACTATTCTTTTCCACATAACAGCATATTCTACCACGTATTGAAGAAGACAGCCGTACCGGCCCGAGACCCCCCCCCTGCGGCCCGGGCCTCAGAGGTTTTGGAGGCATAAGGTAACATGGAGGAGATCTTCTGTGGAACTTACACGGGAGTTTCCGAAAATAGGGGACCCAAATCTGGTAACCTAAATAGTAGGATCCTTTTTATAAGGACCCCAAATAAGGTACCGCTAATTTGCGGAAACTCCCATAAGGTAACATGGAGGAGATCTTCTGTGGAACCTTTTAGTAGGGTTGAAGGTTCTCCCCCGCTGCCAAGGTGCCGTGCGGCCGTTCACCTTCCACTCTTCATCTTCGGCCTCCGGGCAGTGGGCTCTCGGGATGAGGGGCTTAAGGTTAGAGCTCTTTCGGGTTTAGGATCCCCTCTTTTCCGTCTGCACCGGAGATCCTTTGCTACGGAAAGCCCGGGTAGGGTTTGGGATTTATGGCTGGGGGCTTTAGGGTCTAGGTTTCGGATTCAAAGCCTAGGTTCTAGAGACTGGGGCTAGGGTTTGGGCTTTAGGGCTGAAGGCCCGGAAGAAGAAGAAGAAGAAGAAGTAGTGAGCAGATCAGCATAAGCAGAGTTACCATAATGAAAGATCTGACTACAGACGAGGTACGTCACCTCATCCGGCATTTAGCATCGTCAATGGCCCGGTAAATATTGCTAAACAGCCCTACACTAGTAAACTACCATGATAAGGCCGATGGCCTGCTCGGATGCCAGGAAGTTCGAGATCGCGTCCCCAGATCAAGCTTTGCATGTAGAGTTCGGGTTTGGGGTCTAGGCTTCAAAGTTTAGGATTCAAGGTTCAGTGATCAGGGTTTTGGGAATAAGGATTGGGTGGTTAAGGCTTGAGGATTTCGGGTTCAGGACTTTAGAGTTTGGGAAAGTCCTTGTTGAACTCCGCCGAGTGCTCCCAGTCAAGCTTCTGCGTCCAAGCCTCGCGATTTCCCGGCATGAAGCTAAGGTTGCTGCAAGGTCACTACGAGGTTACTACACGGGTTTGTGGGTTTTTACGGTGTGGCCCCACAATGGTGCTGTGAACAGTAAGGGTGCTATGAGCTACAAGGGTGCGATAGAGGGGCTATAGTGGTGCCATAAAGGGAAACTTACGGGTTCTATAGGGGTTCTATTCGAGAAACTTGCGCGTTCCGCAAGCTGATAGGTTTCCTCAGAACCTGTGAGGGGCTTGAAGGGGCGAAGTCTGTGGTCCCAGGCTTCATGTGAGGCTGTTTAGCCGGAAATGCAAGCGACATGGCAAGCGAAATGTTTCAGCTTGTCGGCTTGGATGAAGAAAAGTCCTTGTGGCCGCCTTGTTCCCCAGCCAGTTGCAGATGTAATCTACATCACCGGCATAGATGAGCACGTCAATGCCATCTTTGAGGAGATCCTTGAACGGCAGGTCAAGAAAATGGCAAAGCTACTGTCAAAGAGCTTCACCTTTAATGTGTGTTAGCACTGAAGATGCTGAGAAACACCGATGCCTGGTTATCAGGTGCTCTTCCTATGGTCATCGAGAAATTGGTGCTAGTCAGAACTGAACCAGTTAAGGCCCAATCCCAATCCTGAAGCCTGAAACCTCAGATCCCAAACCTCTCAACCCTGAAACCTAAACCCTGAAACGCTCAGAAAGACCAAGTCTGCAGCCCAGCCACAGGGAGCAGGCCCTGATACCTCACCAGCCAGTCTCCAGCAGCAACAAAGGACCTGAGAGGGTTCCCTTAAAAGGGTTTCATTGGGCTTTAAGCTCTCCGCCTGTTGGACAAGAATTGCATTCGAAGCTACTTGACGACAGAAGCAGGAATCAAGGCTAGGGTTTAGGGCTCGAGGGGGGTGTGGGCTTCTTGGCTTAGGATTTCAGGGCTTAGGGGGCAGCTATGAAGTATTGAAAGTCTGAGGCGAAGAAGATGGCCCTGGGTTTCAAAGCCCGGTACCTTCTCCGGGTTACACTTGGAGGAGCCACCCCCCCATAAGGGAGTTTCCGAAAATTAGGGTACCTCCTTGGGGGTTCCTTATAATAAGGATCCTACTATTTAGGGTACTATATTAGGGTCCCCTGTTTTCGGAAAGCCCATATTGATGCTCGGAGTCATACTGTGAGTCTGGAAAGATCGAAGCTACTGCTACATTACGAGACCCTGCTAGACATGTGCCACCACCTCGAAGTCACAAAAACTTCTGTCCGCATCCCGAACACTGAACGGTCGTAGACATGCGAAGACAGCTTTGATGGATCGGACAAACGTGAAAAGTCGAAAAATTCAGAGAAAGAACACGGCTGCGAAGCAAAATATGCATAGATGCAGGGTTCAAAAAAATGAAGAAGCACGATCATCGCTGGCGCCATATGAAATCATACTATTTTCATCGCCATAGCCTGGAGTTGTATCAAACTAGTGTCATTGCTATTGTTGTTTTTGATCGCCATTCTGACTACTGTCAGTTTTGCTTTGCATACGAGTACAATTTAATTTGTACCAGCATGATAACGACTGCCAATGTCCGTGACAGTCTTAGCCCAAGGGGCAGGTCCACCGCCATGTTGCAAGAGCCCCAGGTCTTCTTCACACCGAGCCTCCGCGCTCAACGCTGACTCTCTGGATTCCAAAGTTCCAAAGTTAGGGGGCCCTATCGGGGTTTGGGATTTCAGGGCTCCGCGTTGAGGATGAGGAGGAGGTTTGGAGAGAAGGATTGACGGTGAGGGTTTGGGATTGATGTTCAGGATTCAGGCTAAGGCCGGTCTGCTGAGTTTGGGATGAAGTTTTATGGATCCTGATCCTGTAAGATTGGAGTCTCGGACTTCGACTTGGGGTTGGGGCTTTGGGTTTGAGAGTGGGGCTGACCTGGCGGCCAACCAACGCCTGCGTGGCATATGCACCATCGTTGCAATTATTATCACAAAGCTGCAACGCTTGACATATTCCGAGGAAGACAACGAATAAGAACCACAACGGCAATGTTGATGATAGAAAGGAGGGACAATTCAGCGATAGCAACAGTCACTCCCAGCACAGCAGCAGCAGCAGCAGCAGCAACGACAACCACAGACACTAACCACAGAACTGACATCACACAGGCAATGGCAATGGCCACGGTGATTGTAGTGTTGGGTTATCACAGGCAACAGCAATGGCCACGGTGATTGTAGTGTTGGGTTATCGCAACAATACTTAGAGAGCAATAACAATACTCAGAGAGCAATAAGAGCGTCAATAAACGTATCAATAACACATGCCCTGACCCTACATCCTAAACCCTCAACCATGTCCGGAAACTCTTAAACCACAAACTCTAATCTCAAACACCTCGCAGTCCCACATCCTGCAGCTCTAGGCCTATATAAGGCCCCCTATACCCTAAACCCTGGACCCTACCCAAAAAGTGCCGAAAACGCAAGGTCCAGCTCGGGCCCGGGCGCCGTCTGCACCTCCGGCTTGTTCAGGTAGGTCCTTGGGGCTTCAGAGGAGGCTTCAATAAGTTTTGGTTTAGGGGTTTAGGGTTCTAGGGTTTAGGGTTTTAGGGTTTAGGGTTTAGGGTTTAGGCTTTAGGATTTAGGGTTTAGGGTTTTAGGGTTAGGGTTTAGGTTTACGGATCTGTGGTTAAGAAAGGGTTTACGACTTTGGGGTTCAAGGCTTCAGGGTTCACGGTGTGGGGCTGAGAGGTTGAGGACTTGGGGGTCTACAGCTTCAGGCTATAAGGCTTCAGGCCTCTGAAGGCTTTGGGATGTGAGGTTTAGGATTCAGGGTTGAGGGTTTAGAGGTTTAGCGTTTAGGGTTTAGGGTTGATTGATGGTGGGTGCAGCCCCGGCGTCGTAATCATGTCGAAGTCGTAGCAAAGGCGCCCGTGCTCGCAGTTGATGCGCATGTCATACGGGTTCTTGCCTTCAGGTGGGGTGACCGACCATCATTCTATCAGACAGCATCTCGACCCATTTTTATCGTCAACTACGCCTGGCTGTTGAAGGCTTCAGGGTGAAAACATCCGGCCTGTCAGCTCATAAGGCATGATCGCCATGAAGTTGCAGGCATCGTAGGCTGCAAAGCAGGCCGTGGCATTAACGATGCCGCCAGTCTGGGGGTCTGGGTCCACGCCTGAACCGTTTGGCTGCCGTGCTTGAGTAGCCGTAGCAGTAGCACTTAGGAGTAGCAGTAGCAGTAGCAGTAGCAGTAGTAGTAGTAGCAGTAGTAGTAGTAGTAGTAGTAATAGTAGTAGTAGTAGTAGTAGTAGTAGTAGTAGTAGTAGTAGTAGTAGTAGTAGTAGTAGTAGTAGTAGTAGTAGTAGTAGTAGTAGTATAATAGTAGTACTAGTCGTACTAGTACTAGTCGTAGTAGTAGTAGTCGTCGTCGTAGTAGTAGTAGTGGTAGTAGTAGCAGTAGTAGTAGTAGTAGTAGTAGTAGTAGTCGTAGTAGTAGTAGTAGTAGTAGTAGTAGTGGTAGTAGTAGCAGTAGTAGTAGTAGTAGTAGTAGTCGTAGTAGTAGTAGTAGTAGTAGTAGCCGTACCAGTAGCAGTAGCAGAAGCAGCAGTAGTCGTAGTAGCAGTAGTAGCAGTGACCATCGTCGTCGTGTCGGTACTGGTGGCAGCGGTGGTGGCAAAGACGTCTGGCGTCGCGCCTATCAGAGCATCAGAAAGCAAAGTGGAAGATTGAGATTTTGCACGACAGGACAGTGCTTGACAATAGTTGGATGCTGTCTCTGACAGCATCTACTTAAATCTACTTACAGTAGTGACAAAGTAGTTCTGGAGCATTGCGCATGGCTAATTACTCGGATCTGACTATACATTAGCAGCTTCCTACCAGCAGCTCTGCGTACAATGTACAAATATGTAGTTAATCTGTTTATGTGCTCATTTGTCTAGTGTCTGTTTGCTAGGGTCCTTATTTAGATCCCAAGTACAGTGCGGCACCTTTGTAAAGCGGACCCTTGAAAAGTGATCCTAGCTTACCCATAGGCCCCAAAGTAGTTCCTTTTTGGGACTACCTTCTTGTATTCTTTCTATGAACCCCAAAAAGGAACTACTTTGGAGCCTATGGGTAGAGAACTACTTAGAGGATCATGGGACTTAGTAAGTAGGGTTATAAGTACCTTAATTCAGGTTATAAGTAGATATAACTATAGTTACCTTACTTTTAATCCTACTTACTAAGTCCCCTGATCCTCCAAGTAGACCCTAAACCCTAAACCCTTATAGATCCCTTGAAGGAACCCTATAGATCCTTAAAGGGACCCTTACTAAGTCCCCTGATCCTCCAAGTACCCCCCCATGCGCCGGTCTCGTGAAACCCTGTCTCTTCAGGAGCTCTGGGGAAGCCAAGCCGCTCAAACCTCGATCCCCGACTCTAGAAACCTGAAGCTTGAAACGCCGGTTTAGGGGGTTTAGGGTTTAGCGTTTAGGGGTTTAGGGTTTCGGGGTTTAGGGGTTTAGGGATTTAGCGTTCAGGGCTTTAGGGTTTAGGGGTTTAGGGTTTAGGGATTTAGGGTTTAGGGAGTTTAGGGTTTAGGTGACAAGCTCTCAAGCCGGAGCACCTCTGTTGCAGGCAATGATTCCAAGCTCACATGCCGGGACCATTGCTTTCCTGGGCTCTACACTCTCCCATCTGGCGTCTCAAAGTCAACACGAAGTTGTGAGAGCAAACTGTGTTTTTCAAAGCTGATGATTTCCGAATCAGCATGCTCCCCTCCGCTGAGTAGTCGCAGTGGGGAGAATCAGCGAGAAGGGCCCTCTCGGCTCAACTGAGCTCAGGGAGAAACCGGCGCGTTTCGAGGCCTTGGGCCTGAAGGTTTCGGCCTTCTGCCGGCAGGCCCCTTCAGGAATCATGTTGCCGTGGCCATCGACGTCAACATCGACATCGACATCATCATCGTCATCATCATGGGCATCGTTCTTACGGTCTGAAGCTAGTGCAGTAATAGTTGTGTTCGTCGTGGTATCACTTTTGCCATGACTGTCGTCATGCTTATTGCAAGTCGTAAGACAAATAACAGTTCTTACAACGAGTCTCTACGACAAACACGGCGACCACCACGACACTGCTGCTTGCTGTCGCTGCTTCTGCTGCTGCTGCTGCTACTACTGCTACTACTGCTACTGCTACTGCTACTGCTACTACTACTACTACTACTACTACTACTACTACTACTACTACTACTCCTACTACTACTACTACTACTACTACTACTACTACTACTACTACTACTACTACTACTACTACTACTACTACTACTACTACTACTACTACTACTACTACTACTACTACTACTACTACTACTACTACTACTACTGACTACTACTACTACTACTACTACTACTACTACTACTACTACTACTACTACTACTACTACTACTACTACTACTACTACTACTACTACTACTACTACTACTACTACTACTACCACTACCACTCCTACTCCTACTCCTACTCCTACTCCTACTACAACTACAACTACAACTACTACTACTACTACTACTACTACTACTACTACTACTACTACTACTGCTTCCTCCGCACGCAGCAAAGTGTGTCCTTGCTTGGCTCCCGTGTTTAGGCAGGGACGTACTACTACTACTACTACTACTACTACTACTACTACTACTACTACTACTACTACTACTACTACTACTACTACTACTACTACTACTACTAGTTCTACTACTACTACTACTACTACTACTACTACTACTACTACTACTACTACTACTACTACTACTACTACTATTACTACTAGTACTGACTGGTGCTAGTACTGGCGCTCGTGGCAGCATCGCTAAGAACTGTCTTCATACTTATTAACCCGCTGTATTGGTAAACGAGCACCGTCGTAATCATCACCATCTTCGTCGTCATCATCTTCTTCTTGAAAGGCAACACCCAAAAACCCACCACTCAAAGTCCAATTCCGCAAAAGCTCATGATGTAGTAGTCGCCCTTGCTGATGACATTTGCAGGCGCATGCCCTCCCTCCTGCTGTCCACCGAAGTGGCCCATCTCAGGGTACCACCTGGCGCTCCGAGGTACACAGGTTGGGAAGTGCATTCTCACGACAGAGGCGTTTGCGGGGCGTTCTGCCTCCCTGGCCTGATGGGTTAGTAGGAAAGCTACATCAGGCGCGCACCCGTCGCAGAGCACATTCAGAGCACGCCCTGACTGCGGAGAGGAACGTGCTGACAGGAATCGGACGGACCCTCCCTGCTATGAGAGCATACACCTAATTGAACCCGTGCGAGCTTCATGAAACAAGGGTGCCTTTACTCCCAGGACGGCAGGTTTCAGAGTTGCAACACTGGAAACCCCCAGTGAAGAAGCGGCCCTCCCCTCTCCATTGCTGGGTTCTTGTTAGGGAACTTAATTGAAGTTACCATAATAAGGATCTAAAGTAAATAATATGCTTTCTTTATTATGGTAACTTAAATTGAATCCTTTGACAAGAGCCCAGTTTGTCGAGCCGCTTGTACTGCTCCAGTGGGTCAGTCAGTCCATTGCCTTCCCAGCGGCACGCGGCAGAATGACACTACCGATGCGTCAAAAATGCGAAAACAACTTCGCGCAGGGGCCTAGGCCCTAAGACTGCACATGAACCATGCAGACGATCTGAGGAATGCACCAATGGCCAGGCCCTTCAGAGGAATGTGCAGTCCCTCGTTGGCCTCCGATTCGCAAGGAGGGAGGGCAGCTATCAGTTGAGGCTTTGCGAGTCTACGGTCCGAGCCTTGTTGCCGCTCCAGATTCGGTGGGAAATAGCCGGAACATAGTGTCCTACCATCAGGAGCGGAAGCCGCTCTGAAGGCTTAGGGGTTAGAGTGACATGCTGATCTCCTGCATAGGACTCTCCGAACACAAAGAAGTTGGTCTTCTGGTATTGTGGGAACTGCTGGAAGAACTTCTGCAAGAACCTCAGTGGACGGGCTGCGGGAGATCATGCCCAAACTCGGCGATAATCTTTTCGCTTCGCTTGAACTGTTCGTCTGGACGCGGAAACCGTAAGCAGACTTCTGAGGGATTGAGATGTGGCATGCGATTGAAATGTCAAATATGCACGGAGCACTCTGTCGACAGCCAATGGGCGTGTACATATTCTCTGCGACTCCCTTCTCGTCGTGGGTGCCGATACCGGTGGAGAATCCAACACCGGCAGGCTGGTCGACCCACATCACCTCAAACGCACAGCACGACGTCACCATGTTACGGTGACGCGAGACGCTCCAGCGCAGGCAACCCAACATACAGTGACAATAAGACGATGGTTGAATTATGGTACATGCTAAAATCTGCTGTTGTGATCGAAGGCCATGAAGATGACTCGGAAATGAACACTGAGCGACCGCTGGCAGGGGCTGACGTCAAACACTACAAGCCCGGTTGAAGGCAAACGTCGTTGGCTGCGTTGTGCCAAGACGATGGATTCGTGTAGGTCTTGTCACCTCAGATGGTCGACATGCAGTGGGACTGCCAGCGCGAGAGCTCGAACCTCAAAACCTCTAACTTCTTTCAGCCAAAGCCAAAGCCCACGATGCCCTAGCTACAGAACGCTTCATGAAGACCCGGACAAACGCACAACCTAAACACGACAGCATCTAGACTCTGAAATCAAGAACCATTAAGGATGCACCAGGAGTCCGTTCTTTGCCACCTTGCAGGGTCCGTTCTCTGCGAATCTCGGCGAGACAAATTTCGGGTTCGTAGATTTCACTTTAAGGAATCAATCTTCAGGCTTGCACTGCACTGGCAGGGCATCGACTCAATTAGGGTTTAGGGTGTAGGGTTTAGGGTTCAGGGTTTAGGGTCTAGGGTTCAGGGTTTAGGGTTCAGGGTTTAGGGTTCAGGGTTTAGGGTTTAGGGTTTAGCTGGGCCCAGCATCCCGACGCAAACAGCCACATGCGCCTACGCAAAACTATCTCAAGAAGTGTCGCGTCCTCGTTCGGGCATTGTTTTGTAGCCCCCAACCCTGCACCAAGCTTGGCCCACCGAAGGTTAGCTGGTTAGCTCTTCAAGTTGACTTTCGTCGAGGCCTTGGCCACGGTGAGCTTGACCTCCCAAGCTCCGCCCTGAAAGCTGTTAAACCTACGTGTCGAGTATCCTGGGGAACTATAACAGTTAACCTTCGGAGGATATTGGGACTATAGCACCGCAAAAAAAGTTCAAGGTCACCCAGTCACTAAACCCTAAACCCTAAACCCTAAGTAAACCAAGGAGCAGGGCCAGCTGCGAGGAGCAGCCGGGGCCGCCAGACAGCCTCAGCCCCGGCCCCGAGTAATGTCGGCTCACGGAGGCGGCTGACTACTGTAGGGGCCTTTAAGGGTTTAGGGGTTTAGGGTTCAGGGGCCCTTAAGAGTTAGGGTAGGGTTCCCTTTAAAGGGGTCTATAAGGGCTCCTTTCAGGAATACTATAAGGGTACTTTTATGTAGGGGCCTTAAGAATCAGGATAGGGTGCCTTTAAAGCGGTCTATCACCTATTCTAATTAGTAAGGCCCCTACATGATTGTGCCCCAGCAAAAACACGCTGCACTGCATCTGCGGGCACTTCACGAAGCAAACAACTGCTTATGGAGTTTGCCCGCTGAGATGCTGGAGCACACCCCAAAACCCTATACCCTGAAACACAGCTCCAGAATGCCAAGCCACCACATCAGCAACGGTGCTGATTCGGGGTTCCTTAGGCTTTGCTAGCTCAACGCAGACCACAGCTCTGTGACTCTATGATCATGGTTGAGTTCTGGATCCTCGCAGTCAGAGAGTTCCCAGTCTCATCCCTACTACTTTTCTCTGCGGCACAGCTACTACAATTCCTCTGGAGATTCCTCTTCCTCGTCATCGTCGCAGCAGCAACAGCAGCAGCAGTAGTAGTGGTGATGGTGGTGGTGGTCTTGCACACACAGTGAGGCTTTGACGAACAGGAGACTTTGAAGCTCCGAGATGTCTCGGCCACTACACCACCTGGTCCATTGAGTCGAGTCTCTGCTTAGCCTCGAAAAGCCAGAAGAAATAGTTCGTGATCGGGTTCACGGAAATGTAGCCTGCCGTCTGCTTCACACTGGAGTCCTGAGCTATCAAAACTCCTGAAATCGTCTCGACATCTGTGGCTGGAGACATGCTCATACTCTTTCGCTCGGTAGGGTCCCGACGCAAAGGCTGGGGTTCGTGAATCCCTCGCTGACCTGCGCAGTCTGGGTTGAACCGCCTTCCTGGGTTCGCGAGAGTTTCCGTCTAAGTTCCTCTAGCCCATGCAATGCCTACTGAGAGAAGATGGATCCAATGATCTGTCTGTGATCTGTGTCTTGTGTAGATCTCTCCCGAAACCCGAACACAACGAGCTGACTTCCACACACGTCTTGCCTCCCACGACCCATCTGCAACAGCACCTGTCCTTCCTCAAACCATCTGTGAAAGCCCGGTAGACAGACACGACTCTGGGATCACCCTATACTATTTTGTATGTTCCTTATTATAAGTTATAAGTATATTTAAACTAAACCCGAAGGCAACCTGCACCACGGCAGTGTGGCTCTTCTTGAATAAGACGCGCAAGTGTAGGGAATGGTAGGGAGAAGCAGAGGAATGGGACATGCGTGACAAGCAAAATTCCAGGGTTTCGGGGCCCTTTATACTATTTAGGGGTTCCCTAAACCCTAAACCCTAAACTCTAAACCCTAAACCCTAAACTCTAGACCCCAAACCTTAAACCCCAAACCCTAAGAGCCCACGATCAACTTGGAACCCACCGCCCCCCAGGGCGCCTTCTCCTCGGGCCCGGCGTGCTCCTGGCGCAGGGCTCAAGCCTCAATCCCAGACCGACCGACAAAAAACCAATCCCAAACCCTAAACCCTAAACCCTTATCATGCAACCATGATATTATGGCCTGAATAATTAGAACAGGGTTTTGGGGCCCATTATACTATAGTTAGAATAAGGAACCCCAAAACAGTATAGGCAATTATTCAGGCCCCAAGATAAATCCCAAGGCCCAAGACCCTAAACCCTAGACTCCGCACGAGATCCCTTGTCCACCTCGGCTTCCTTTGCCAGCTTCTCCAGAGTCGAGCGATTCCCATACTGCAGCTGCGACTGTACCTTTGCTCTCACTGTCTGTCCGCGCAGGGTCGCGGGAAAATTGGATCAGTTCTGGTCGTTGTTGCTTTATGTGGTGGTTTGGGCAGTGTTGGTTGTTTGCATTCTGTGCCCCCGAATTAGATACCTGCTTCCTCAACACGATAATACATGACTATATAACTTTCAGAACAGCATCGAGTTGTGAGACCCGGCGAAGTTTCAAGACTTGGCACTGGAGAACTCTGCAACCTGCTGAATAACTCCCAAGGCACCCTCAGGAGGGGCAGGAAGATGAGAAGCGCCCGTGCAGTCATGGTGGATCACTGGTGGATCTGGAGGGATCTGATTGATCTGAGCAAACTGGCAGCGCACAGATGCATAAGACCCAAGCAACACATTGCTCGCACGGCAGGGGACAAACTCCAACCATCAATCTTGCTTACATCCTCACCTCGCTCGGCCTGCTCAATGGAATAAAATCCAATCGACGAACCAGAGCAGACGCCAGCCAGAAAAACAAGGCAACTGCTCATGATGCTACTGGCAAGTCTCGGAGACTGAAGGGTGCAGGCATCCCGAGGAAAGCCAGACAAGAGGACTCAAAGCAGAGAGGCTGCCCGGCGCAAACCTTGGAATCTTAGAGCGGACACCTGAAGAAGAATCCCACATCTGTGGGGTTCTCAGCACTAAGATGTACGAGCTGTTGCCCGTGTCTTCGGCTCGCAAATAGTTTAGGGTCTAGGGATTAAGGTTTCAGACGTCGGGATTAGGGTTTAGGGTGCATTCGATTCCGCATGTGGCATCAAGCATCATCAAGCCAAGGGCGCGTCTGCAACGATGGCAAATCACTCACGCGTTGGCACCCAAAGATTGCGACTGCTTTTAGCACACGCCTCCTAGATGGATCAAGCTGATGCACTTTGTGCACGCAGCCAGTTGCCAGGATTTCAAGTTCTGTACGACAACTCTCCACGCCTACAGTGCGACCAGCCGGCTTCAACCACTTCGTGCGCCCAGGTCCCTACAACAAGACCGTTGCCAACAAGAACAGCTGACTAGAAAGGAACCTCCATGGGAGGGGACCTGGGACAGGGGAAATGATCTGTCCAGGCGCTGGCTGGCACCATACGCAAGCAGCACATGCGCTGCCCTTTGAGGCCACGATGCTTTGCTCAATATGCACCATCTCCTTAGCCACCAGTGCAAGGGAACTCGAGCACGAGCAGAAAACATCAGCAAACTGAGCAAGACAGCAAAGGTGGGCGCGCGCCATCCGAATGAAAGCTGAGGCTGGGTCTGGTGCTGTGAGAACGCATCACCGTGGTGAGATGTCAGAGAACTGAGGCGGCTGTGGGCGTTCAAAGGCGAAAGACCCCTACAGGAACTGTACAATGGCTACTGATCCCCCAAAGATGCGAATTACTGGATGGACCCCGGGTGCTGTACAAGCAACAGCGTGCATGGGCAGAGAAGGCTGGTCTGAATATCCTTCTTTCTGAGGTCCAGCCATCAGGCAAAGCATCAGCCAAGTACCATTACCAACCCTCGCAGTCAGCCCATGGGGGAAAAACAAATTGAAAATCCCTTTAGATGCGGCTTCTGACTTGCGAGGCTTGGAGCGCTACCTATCAGCTCTAAAGATTCAGGTCTTCACGATGCAGACACCGAATGCCTCGGCACGAGATTCGGCTGCCAGGTCTGCCAGGAGCCGAAACGCACATAAGCTCTGCAACAGGCCACTTCAGACGCACAGGCGCCTTAATGATTAGAATAGGGTTCGGGGTATACTATAACATAATCATAATGAGGATCCCCCACCATAGTATAGGTAATTAATTATCAAGGCATTCAGGCCTCTATATTACAGGATGTAAGGTCCGGAGTCTGCAGGGCACATCTAAGAAGCTTACACCACCACTCGCCCCGGCGTGGGCCTCTTTTGACCCTGGCTCTCGGTCCTATGGAGCCTTGCAGGAACTAGCACTACTTGTAACATCGACAGTATAGACACTGGACTCGACACTTTTCGAAGGGGCCCACCAGCATTCCAAAGATGGCTCACGATTGAATCTCATGATAAAAAACCTCCATGTCAGAACCGGCTGCCGTGCACGCAAGACCTCACCTTGACAAGTCAGGCGGTGCCTTCGTCGTTTCTGTGAGGGCGGCTGCCTCACCTTCCAGTGACTTCAAAGGGTTTCGGGTTCTGAGTTCAGGGGCAGCACTCGAAACTTCAAAAGGGATGACAGCTCTGACCTACGAGGGTCTAGGCTTCGGCTGATGGTGCTTCCGGCTTAAGCTTCACTGTCTCCCAACTGCATCTCTGCCTCCTTGAGTTTCAACTGGTGTGCTTGGGTCTGCAATTAAAAATGATATCCCCTCATAGTCCCTTCATAACCACAGCATAACATGCCCTTAAAGCCTGTTCTGCAATGATAAAATGCAGACCAAAACCATTGTTTTCTTTCGTGGAATATGCCTGCGAAGCCCTATTCGACAACTATACTGTGGCATATGCCACAACCCCACTTCAATTATTCAGGCCCCTTTGCATGCCAGCGGGCTGGTCACTGCTGCATGAACCAATTCGGGATGGCCGTGTGTTGCTCGAAGACGGCGCGAGCCTGCCAAATCAAAGAGATTTTTGGAAGTTTGGGTTCGGTGGGTTTTCCATGCAAGAGATTTTCGGAATTTCGGGCTCGGCGGTTTAGTGTTTTAAAAACCCTCTATGCAAGAGATTTTTGGAAGTTTGGGTTCGGTAGTTTAGGGTTCAGGGGTTGGGGTTCAGGGACCCAGCTTTTCACCTCGGAAAGGAATCTTTGGAGGTCTGCGTCCTTGACTTTGTGCTTGAGGCCAGAATCCCAAACCACCCCGAGTCCGTAAACCTCAATTAAATCCCACGAAGACCCCAGTCAAAAGCCTGACATTACTACTAAACCCTGTCTAGTCCTTAAACCTACATAAACTTTGGGAAAGTGTTTCCGCCTGCTGCACAAGGCCGCAGGGAATGAGCCCACGGTCACCCATCGCAAACCAACCTGACACATGGGATTTTCTGATTCCGAGCTCAACTTTCGGAAGGGGTAAACCCCGAAACCCTGAACTTTTTGCTCACTGCTTCAAGGTGTCCATTGACGGAGTTTAGAGTTCCATACTTCTAAACCCAGACTGTCCCAAGCCCATGGCCCACATGTACATCCTGAAACGCAACTTGATGCCCACGTCTGGGCTTCCCGCCCATCGGCACCAGTGTGATCGCCTGCCCCACCTGCAGGTTGCAGGTAGCATTCTCGATGTCCTTCGAGAAGGTGCTGAATGCAGCATTCATAATGCAGTCTATGTGTCTATGTCTGTCGTCTCTGTGTAGCTTCAACTTCCGAGAGCTGTGGAAGCAACATGTCATATCAAACAGATTCTTCTCGGAACATGTCGGATCCAGTGCGGCATCTACCGAGACAACCGACCCATGCTGGCCCATGCTGCCAGGCAGTGATATTGGGATAAGCACCACCAAACCTCTGGACCTACACCGTAAATTCTAAACTAGACAATGGAAAATGCAGCAATCTGTATACATAAAGAACTACATAAGTGAATATATATATATATATACATATACATCCATCCGTCACCCAGACTTTAACGGGAACTGCTTCCCCTAATTTTGATTCTTGCTACTGTGACTCTCGTGACACTTACGATAAACAAGAATTGCGATTCCCCTAAACCCTACACCCTAAACCCTACACCCTAAACCCTTTCTTGGAGCCCCCACCGGCGCCAACTGCACGGGCGTCACGCAGCCAGAGCCCATAGGCGTGCCGTCGCTGCCGCTGAAAGTGCTTCGGGCCACCTGACAATAAAGGATTTAAGATTCCGGACGTGGTTCATGGGCCCCTAAACCCTATAAACCCTAAAGCTGGCAAAGTGACAAAGGAATCAAAGGAACGCATTGAGTGGAATAATTAGACGAGCGAGGTTGCACAACTCACCACTTCACCGAGCCAGCAGCGAGCAGGGTTCCGGCGCTCACAGCATTCTATGATGTAATGTAGGGTCTAAATAATTACCAATACCATTTTTGGGGTTCCTTTCTCCAATTATAGTATAATGGGCCCCAAAACCATATTCTAATTATTCAGGCCCCTATATCATGGTTGCGTGAAGTTGGGGCTGCCGTCTCAAGGCAGTCAGCCTTTTCGTGGCACTTGGATTAAAGCTCCGATCCCCGAACCGGAAGACCGAAGCTTACGATTGCACTTTGAATCCCAAAAAAATCGGAAATCCATCCCAGACCTCAGAGCCCCCTGAGCCCTAAACCCCTAAACGCTAAACCCAACCTCTCTTGCAGGGCAAGGTGCCGTCGAGGCCGTTGGAGAGGAAGCGGAGCTCCACCCGCCGTGCCAGACCTCAGCGACAGTTTGGTTGATGACCAAATGAGAGGGTAAGGGTCCTACAGTCCCACCTTATGCGCCTTTGGATGGCGAGGAACCCGACTTAGGGAGATAGATATATATATATATATATGTAATGAGATATGTATATATATGTATATATATAGATATAGATATAGATATAGATATAGATATAGATATAGACATACAAACATACACGTGTGTGTGTGTGCGCTCCAGTTTCTGAACTCAATAGGTGCCTGCATCAAAGAAATCCGCTTCACAGCTGGCACTCCTTGGTCCTAATTAGACCCTAAACCCAACACCCTAAGCCCTCAGATACCCGGGCTCCAGACCTGAGGTGGTGGTTCGTACGGGTTGTCAAAGAGATTCTCCGGCAGCTGCGCCTGGTGCTGGAGGCATGACGACGGCCGCTTAGAAGCCAGAAACATCCCTTCAAGGCTCCACATGGATGCACCTCTGGGACGCTGTCCTGGTCCCGGACGCTCTTCTCCAACGCATTGTTCCTGCACGGCACATCCGATCATGGGATCATCTCCCAACCATAACTCCTCCGAGCTTGCCGCCTGCTCCGGAGCTTCTCGTTCTCTGCCCGGAGAGCGGCCAGCTCCTCGAACGGCCCCTACACCCGGGAAATAGGCCAATGCGGCTTTATTGTACACCTAAAGCCAATGCATCTCCCTTCAATGGGTTGTGCTGACTAGTGCCATGTGATGGCGCCGTCAAACCTTATGATCCCCCAACCCCTCCTCTTGCACAGCTGGAGAGGTCGTTGAAGCCACAGTTGACACTTCCGGCGACAAGGCATCTCCCACCTGTGCCAAAGGCTGAGAATGGCGGTGAAAACAGGCCAAGACGATCATGTCAGCATGAATGCACCGCAGGCATACAAGGACAAC